GTACATAGGTATTCATTATATTATTTTACAATTTCTGTGTATGTTTGAATTTTCTACAGTAAAAAGCTTTTTCAGTTATGTATGTTAAATATAAAACTTACATAAATTAAATTATACATATAACTTAAATATAGGTTTTAAATTACATATATAATTTAAATGTTTTTAAATTACATATATTTATGAAATATACATAAGTTATATACATATAAAATAATTAAAAGCACACTGACAAGACAAAAAAAGCACAGAACTTGAATAAATGGAAAGACATCCCATGTTTCTGGATAAGATGACTCAACATCATAAAGATGTCAGTTTTCCCCAATAAAAACACTAGTAGTGGCCAGGCGTGATGGCTCATGCCTATAATCCCAACACTTTGGGAGGCCAATATGGGCAGATCACTTGAGCCCAGGAGTTTGAGATCAGCCTGGGCAATGAAGACAAAAGCCTATCTCTTCTAAAAAAAAAAAAAAAAAAAAAAAAAAAAAAATACAAAAAATTAGCTGGGTGTAGGGGTGAGCACCTATGGTCCCCACTACTCAGGAGGCTGAGACAGGAGGAACGCTTGAGCCCAGGAGGCAGTGGCTGCAGTGAGCCGAGATCATTCCATGGCACTCCAGCCTATGTAATAGAGCAAGACTCTGTCTCGAAAACAAACAAACAAACAAAAAACAGGCCAGGTGCAGTTGCTCATGCCTATAATCCCAGACCTTTGGGAGGCCTAGGCAAGTGGATTATTTGGAGTCAGAAGTTCAAGACCAGCCTGGCCAACATGATGAAACCCTATCTCTACTACAAATACAAAAAATTAGGTGAGCATGGTAGCACGTGCCTGAAGTCCCAGCTACTCCGGAGGTTAAGACAGGAGAATCACTTGAACCTGGGAGGCAGAGGTTGCAGTGAGCCAGGATTGTGCCACTGTACTCCAGAGTGACAAACAAATGAAAAACACCAGTTTTTTTTTTTTCCAGAGCTAGATGTGAACATAAAGTTTATATAAAAAATAAACAAGTAAGAAAATTCAGGAAAACCCACAGAAAGGAGTATTTGGAGCGGGAAGGTAGTCCTACCAGATATTAAAATATACTATATAATCCACATATGGCCGGGTGCACTAGCTCACACCTGTAATCTCAGTACTTCAGGAGGCCGAGGAGGGTGGATCGCCTGAGGTCAGGAGTTCATGGCCAACCTGGCCAACATGGTAAAACCCCATCTCTACTAAAAATACAAAAATTAGCCAGGCGTGGTGGTGTCCCCTTATAACCTCAGCTACTCAGGAGGCTGAGGTAGGAGAATTGCTTGAACCTGAGAGATGGAGGCTGCAGTGAGCTGAGATCCACTGCACTCCAGCCTGGGTGACAAAGCAAGACCCCATCTCAAAATAAATAAATAAACATAAAGTATACACAATTAAAACAGTGTGATACAAATGCAAGGCCAGTGGAACAGAATATAAATACCAGAAAGAGGTCCAAACACACATAGAAATTTCATACATGATAAGGGTAGCATTTCAAATCACTGAGTAGAAAAGTTAATAGTTTTTAATGAATGCTGTTGGGACAAGAGAATATCCATTTGGAAAAAGATTAATTAAATCCATACTTTGTGCTATATACCAGAGTACATCAGAGTAAAATACTAATGAATCAGAGATCTAAAAGCAGTAAAATGAAACCATATAAGTATAAAATAGAAGAGTAACAGAAGAGTGTATTTTTTTTGTAACTTGGGAGTTAAGAAAGCCTTTCTAACTATGATCCCAAATCCAGAAAGCTTTAAAAGAAAGTGTTGATAAATTCAAGGACATAAAAACAAACTGCATGGCAAACCCAAAAAGAATCACCATCACGGGCCGGGCGCGGTGGCTCAAGCCTGTAATCCCAGCACTTTGGGAGGCCGAGGCGGGTGGATCACGAGGTCAACAGATCGAGACCATCCTGGTCAACATGGTGAAACCCCATCTCTACAAAAAATACAAAAAATTAGCTGGGCACGGTGGCGCATGCCTGTAATCCCAGCTACTCAGGAGGCTGAGGCAGGAGAACTGCCTGTACCCAGGAGGCGGAGGTTGCAGTGAGACGAGATTGCGCCATTGCACTCCAGCCTGGGTAACAAGAGCGAAACTCCGTCTCAAAAAAAAAAAAAGAATCACCATGACATAAGTTAAAATAATCTCTTGACTATATGAAGAGCTTTTAAAAATAAAGAGGAAAAAGGCCAAAATCAAAGAGAAAAATGAAGAATGAGCAAAAGATACAAATAGAAAATTCACAGAAAAGTCACACTTATACATTAAAAAGGCAGAGGATAAACTAAAACTATCACTGCCTCACTGATCAGATCTTAAGTTTGGCAATACACTCGACAACCCTGCAGAGAAATAGGTATTCTCATACTCTGCTAATGTCCATAGTTACACCCTCTATAGAAGGGAATTTGGCAAATATAACAATATCATATATATATTCACCTTATGTGTCACTGATTAAAATAACAGGAGTCTATTCTAAGATGTACTTTCATAAAATCAAAGTAACACATACATAAGAGTCCACACCGCAACATTATTTGGAATAGCAAACGTCTGGAAACCAGTCGAAGTGTCCATCAACAGATGACTGGTTGAAAAACTCACAGTTCATCCAAACAAGTCAGTACTAAATAGCCATTAAAACGGAAATGAGGAACTCTCTATGTACTGATTTGGAATAATCCCCAAGATATATTAAGTTTACAAAGCAATGTATAGGACAAGATATATGTAGTATGCTAATTTTTATTTTAAAAGGAGGTTAAAAATATACAGAATTTTATCTTCACAAAAATAAAATTGGGATAATAAACCAGAAACCAATAATAATTGTTATCTGTGAGTATGAGGATAAGGAGATACAAATGGAAGCAAGAATTCTGAGTATACATTTCTATATAATTATGACTTCTATAAGTATTTTACATTTTCAAAAAAAAGGAAAAAAAAATCCCAAGTCCCTAAACTAAATAGAAACAAATGAACCTAACTATATGTCAAATGGTAAGAGAACCACAATGAAAAATTATTCCATGTAATTTTTAAACAGTACCCATTATAATCTTACTGAAACATATTCAAAGGACAAAAAGACGAGACCATCCTGGTCAACATGGTGAAACCCCGTCTCTACTAAAAAATATACAAAAAATTAGCTGGGCACGGTGGCGCGTGCCTGTAATCCCAGCTACTCAGGAGGCTGAGGCAGGAGAATTGCCTGAACCCAGGAGGCGGAGGTTGCTGTGAGCCAAGATCGCGCCATTGCACTCCAGCCTGGGTAACAAGTGCGAAACTCCGTCTCAAAAAAAAAAAAAAAAAAAAAAAAGACAAAAAGAAGTTCCATAAACTCTTAAATTTCACCCAATAATTCTATTATTAATTGCAAGATTTTTTTAGTTTTTTGATAAAGATAAGGCAAATAAATTTATTACTGTTACTATAAATAAGATACATGCAAATAAATATTTCAAAAAGAAAATCCTTTTGTAATGTCAAACTATCATTGAAAATATGTGAATGAATTCAAGTGATTCAGGTTAAGTATCACCAACGGACACTAACAACATTAGTCAAGAAGTTGTTGGCTGGGCGTAGTGGCTCATGCCTATTATCTCAGCACTTTGGGAGGCTGAGGTGGGAGGATCATTTAAACTCTAGTTTGAGACCAGCCTAGGCAATGTACTGAAACTCCATCTCAATAAAAAATTAAAAAAATAGCTAAGCATGGTGGTGCGCCTTGATCCCAGCTACTTGGGAGGCTGATGCAGGAGGATCACTTGAGCCCAGGAGGTCAAGGCTATAGCGAGCCATGCTTTTGACACTGCACTCCAGGCTGGGCAGCAAAGTGAGGAAAAAAAAAAAGACATTGTTGAGGACAGGATATTTGCAAGTTGCCAAAGTATCACCCCCAAAGATTACTTGCTAAATAAATGTAAAGAAAAACTCTAGTTTTACAAAGGAGAGACCCAGTGGTCACCACCTTAACTAAGTGATCACACTTCCCATCAGAAATACTGGAACAACCTACTATCACACACCTCTCAATTTAGCAGTGGAGTAGAAAGCATCTGGATATTTTTATCTTGAGAGGTATACACTCTCAGCAAATTAAAATAAGAGGCCCAGGTATCCAGTTTTGGTTTATACTAGTTATCTGTACAACCTTGGCCACACCACTTAAGTCTTTCGGATATCAACTTCCTCATTTATAAAACAGTAATTTTATGAAAGATTTTAAGACCCCTATAGTTTATTTGGCAATAAAAATTCTATTATTCTATAGTTCTGAGAAGGCTTAATTGGTCTTCTGTTCACCTTATGTCACTGCTGGAAAATCTACTCATCAGATCATTTTCTTCCTCTTTCAGTAAATGGTATAAGAAAATTTAAATCCAAGAAAGCAATCCTCCCATCTCTACTAATTTTTAAGGTTTCTTCTCTAATATGATGCTGTCTTAATATAACAATCTCACAGACAAGAAGGCTTCCAGAACAAAAAGGAGTTGCTGAGTCACCAGATTATTTTAGTGAAAGGAAAAAGAATCAATTTTTAAACACACGTCTTAAAAAGCATTTACATATTGTTTTCCCTTACTGGTAGCAAAAAACAAAATTGCTGTTTGTTGTATATTTTTAAAATTTTCTCTGTGTAGCATTATTTCCTTTTCAGTCTAAGGGGAACTGAAAATGATTAAAAATTTAAATTATGTTTAATTTCAATAAATACTAAAATTAGTTTTATAGATGAAAAGACAAAAGTAGCATGTTTCTGTGGAGAGTATCCTGGCTGAGACTTTTAACAGGCTTAAACATATGTTTTGTTCATATGACATCCCACAAAATCTACTGCTAAATATCTTTGGATCTCAGTTTCCACATCTAAAAAGTGAAAATACTATTTATCCTCATTGAATCACTGTGAAAACTATGTAAGATTTTAAAAAGTGGTCCAGTGCTACGTGTCCCTGTCATTTTAGGTGGCGGTTGGGCAGGCAGTCATGGATCAGGCAATGCAGTTTGTTGAGCCAAGTCAGCAGTTTGTAAAGGACTCCATTTGGCTGGTTAAAAGATGCACCAAACCTGATAGAAAAGACTTCCAGAAGATTGCCATGGCAACAGCAATAGGATTTGCTAAATGGGATTCATTGGCTTCTTTGTGAAATTGATCCATATTCCTATTAATAACATCATTGTTGGTGGCTGACTGAATTCATTTTGGAAGAGAGTTTTTCATCTTAGAGACTGGTGAACAAGTGTGAGGGTGTGAGTAGCTCACGAAATACAAATTTGCCTGTATGTTTTATGGGTTTTTTTTTCTCCTTTCAAGATGTTTTCTATTTCTAAATTATTTTCAAAGTAAATAAATCTCTTTTTTTCTGTCATAGATACTTATCACATTTCAGCGATAGAAAATTGTAGATTCTTTCTCTGAATAATTTGGTTTATAAAAGTAATCTAAGGATCTGGTGAAATAAAGAAAAATAAAAGATTTTAAAAAGTGAAGTAGTCAAGACTATGATGATCACAGTTGAATATCAATTAGCAGTAGCTGTTATTACTTTTTAATGCCATGAATGTAAAAGAGTGAATAAATTTATTTATTAAGTTACAAGAAGTGAGATTAACAGTGTTCTAGATAGATACTTTAACACAGCAAAAAGTTGTTCAAATTCTTCTCATTCTACCTCTCCTTTCTCACTCCCTATCACTCCCCCTAAGCCCCCACATAATACAAAGATTTATCCGAATATGGAGAAAAATAAAAGATCATTAGGAATTTCCTGCTCTCCCTGCAGCTTCCACATACATGCTGCTGCTTTTCGCAAAGTAAATATTGGGAACTTGGCTTAAGTTTAGTTTGTAGCCTTAACAGAAGAGTCCAAAGCAGTCTACTGGGCTGCATTTTAGTTACGTTTTTGGCTAGTTTACTCTGTCAAGTCATTTTTATCCTAACAAAAAATTTAAGAAGTTATTAATAGGAGTTATTCTATTATTTGAATAACATACTGTATGAGAATAATTTAAAAGCCTTACATTAACACACAGCTCTCATTCTGGTTGCTAAAAATAAAAATAAATTAAAACAATGAAATTAATCACACACTGGGGGCAGTTGGGGGGGTAGAGGAGAGATAGCGGGGGGTAGGGAGGGAGGGGAGGGATAACATGGGGAGAAATGCCAGATATAGTATGCACCTAAAGTTAAATAATTAAAAAAATTTTTAAAAATGAAATTAAATAAATTTGTTTCCATAGAAAGATATATTCTTCTATATTCAACCATAAAACCTTGCAAGTCTATGCAGTCTTTGAATCCAAGGTTGTATAACATTAGATGTCAAAGGAAATGCAAGATCAGGGGAATCTTATGTTCACTAAAATAAGATTAAAAGGTTATAACTCTAAACAACTTTTTTAATGCAATTTTTTATTAAAAATTACTAAAGAGCTACTCTCAGACTAGTAAAATATACATATACATATACATAAAATAAAAAATATATGAACAATTTCTATTTACCATCTAGAAACTTTTAAAGATCATTCTCTGTTAGTCTGTAAACTTTCAAAGTGATGTTTGTAAACTGGTTTAATTTCTGATGCATTCTTCTACTGGCGCTGACCCTCTATCTAAATAATCAATGCTGTTCTGACTTCATCACTTAGTGCTTTTTTATTAATTTGGTGTCTCACAGAGGTTTATAATCCTTCTCAATAATAAGAGCAAATATGTACAGAGAACTTACTATGTACTGGGAACCATTCTAAGCCATGTTGTACAGTTTCTCATTTAATGCCACAGTAACATTATGAGGACGATTCTATTATTCTGCCAATTACAATTTAGTAAACTGAGACTCAGAGAGTTGAGGGAACTTGCTCAAAGTTAACAAGTTATTGGTAAAATCCATGTGCTCTGACTCCAAACGCAAGTTCTAGATGATGACCCTGTGCTAATCCTCTGCTACAATGAAGAGCTAGGAGAATAGTGCTGAAACTCAGGTTTACTTTCTGTCTCTTAGGACAACACTGGAAAGAAATGTCTATTTCTGTTCTGCTTATTTCCTTTTTCTAAATATACCCAATAGGGCTAACTTGGATACACCAGAATCAAAATTCTTACTGCTATCAAAATAAAAATTTGTAATATGGAAAAGTATATTCAAGTAAGCCCACATACAACACTTTCATTTCATATAATAGAAAATAGAAGTTGTATGTAAATAAAATCAACTCAACATATATTTATTGAGAACTACTCTGTTCCACTTACTTGGGATAAGTCAGTGAATAAGACAGATTAAGAATCTCTCCTTAGTGGAGGACTCTAATATGGAAAACAGATGATAAACAATATAAAAATAACTATGTTACACGATGTATCAGTATGTAAAAGTCTGTTTAAAAAAATTTTTAAATAAGGCCAGGCATGGTGGCTCAAGCCTGTAATCCCAGCACTTTGGGAGGCCAAAGTGGGCAGATCACTTGAGGTCAGGAATTCGAGACTAGCCTGAGCAACATGGTAAAACCCCATCTCTATTGAAAATACAAAAATTACACGTGTGGTGGCGTGCACCTGTAGTACCAGCTACTCAGAAGGCTGAGGCAGGAGAATCATTTGAACCTGGGAGGCGGAGGTTGCAGTGAGCCTAGATCTTACCACTGAACTCCAGCCTGGGTGACAGAGCGAGCCTCTGTCACAGAAATAAAATAAAATAAAATAAAAAATAGAATATTTGTAAGTTGGGGGAATTGGCAGTACCAATGAAAGAGCAGGCAAACTGCAGTTTTAAATGGGGTAGTGAGGGTGAGTTGACAAGAAGTAAATCTGAGCACACCTAAAAGTTGGTAAGGACCTGAAGGAGGCGAACATTCCAAACAGAAAGAAAAAGTAGTAGTAAAGTTCCTAAGAGATGGTTAGAGCAGAGTGAATAATCAAGAGGAAAAGAGTAAGAGAGAAATGTGTTTATGATGTAACAGGCAGATCAGGTAAGGTCTACTAAATCATAACAAGAACTGTGGCTTTTACTGAGTAAAACAAGGCTGGAGGGTTTTTTGCAGAAAGTGGTAAGATCTGACCTTAGGCTGCTATTACATTGAAAAGAAATTTTAAGGGGACAAAAATAGAAACAGTATGATGGGTAAAGAGACTACTGCTAGGCCAGGTGTGGTGGCTCATGCCTTGTAATCCTAGCACTTAGGGAGGCTGAGGCAGGCAGACTTCTTGAGCCCATGAGGTCAAGACCAACCTGGGCAACGTGGCAAGATCCCGTGTATAAAAATAAAAATAAAAAAGGCTATCGCTATAAGTAACGACTCATTGAGGATTATTATAATCTAGCTGGTGAGAAGTGATTAGATGGAGATGAGATAATGAACCTTTTTGGACATGTTATGTTTGAGATGTCCTGAGAACTAAGAGAAAGAAGAGATTTAAGGAAAAGAAAGTAACCATCTGTATCAAATGTTACAGACATTTGATATACAAAATGAGGACTCAGATTAGCAACTTAAATCAGTGGTGACTTTAATTTCTTCCAAGGAGTTCTGCTACGAAGGAAAGTAAAAATGGAAGCAGTAAGTAGTAGAGCAACAGGGGGCCAAAAAAGAATAAAAGAATGGAACAGAGATTTTGGCTGCTACCCACCCAGAGGAAAAACAAAGTATAAAGTTTGACTTTGATAGTCAACTATGAGATTAAAAAAAAAAAAAATCAATACTCTTCAGAAAAATGCAACAGAATAGTCTCTACAATGTATCAGTTAAGATGTTTAACATTTAATCCAAAATTACAAAGAATCAACAAAAATGTGCAACATCATACATGAAAATTAGCAGAAAAAATTCTAAAGTAGCTGTAATGTAATTATGCTTAAGGATTTAAAAGAAAAGCTGCTCAATATAAAAGAACATATAGGAAATCAAGAGCAAACAGACAAAAAAGAATCACACAGACATTTAAAAAACAAAAAACAATATAGAAAATGTTTTAAAAATTAACTGAATGACTAACAGATTAGAAGTTGATAAAAATCAGTGAACTTATATTAATAGAAAGTGTCAAATCTGAAGAAAACACAGAAAAAAGACTGGGAGAAAAATAGAGCCTCAGAGATCTGCAGGATAATATAAAAAGCTCTAAAATATATATAATTACAATCCCAGAATCAGAGAAAACAGAGATAGGCAGGAAAAAAAAAGTTGAAGAAATCCCCCAAATCTGGTTTAAAAAAAAAAAAAGCATAAATTAAAAAATGTAAGAACCCCAGCAAATCATGAGCAGGATAAACTGAAAGAAAATCATACCTAGTCATGTCACAGTTAAACATCTGAAAACCAAAGATAAATAATCTTAAAAGCAGCAAGAGGAAAATGACACATTATACCTAAAGGAACAAAAAAAATGCTGACTTATCAAAAAACAATGGAAGGGCTAGCTAGGCATGGTGGCCCAGGACTCTAAGAGGCTGAGTGGGTGGGTCACCTGAGGTTAAGAGTTCGAGACCAGTCTGGCCAACACACGGTGAAACCCTGTCTCTACTAAAAATACAAAAAAAAAAAAAAAAATCAGCCAGGCGTGCTGGCACACACTTGTAGTCCCAGCTACTCGGGAGACTGAGGCAAGAAAATCACTTGAACCCAGGAGGCGGAGGTTGCAGTATGCCAAGATTGTGCCACTTCACTCCAGCCCGGGTAGTGACAAGAGCAAGACTTCATCTCAAAAGCAAAAAAACCAAAAAACAAAAACAATGCAAGCCAGAAGAATAAGAATGACATCTTTAAAGGAAAGAAGAAAAAAAAAAAGTCAACCAGAATCCTATCAAGTGAAAATATCCTATTGGGATGAAAGCCAAAAAAACACATTTTCACCTAGAATACATCTTTAGCAGATCTACACTAAAAGAAATGCTAATATAAGTTCTTCAGGTTGAAAGTAAATGAAACCAAATGGAAATGTGGATCTTTGGGAAGAAACAAAGAACAATGAAAATGATAAATAGGTGGGGAAATAAGAAAAAGATAATTTTTCCTCTTAATATATTTAAAATACACACGACTGCTTAAAGATCTGAGAGCTTAAAAATCAGCCTCAGAAGTGATTTATCCTTATTCCCCCTTCTACAGTAATAGAAAAATACAGTACCTGTTTTAGTTTCAAAAAGAAATTTTCAGTAGTACTACGTTTGCTGAAGGGCCAGAATAATCTTTCATTAGGAGAGCAAACGCGAACTTTTGTCTCCAGGAGAAATCGAACAGGCTCCTGTACTTCTGTTATTACCAAATCTACAGCTGTGGTCATAAACAAGACTTTATCTAAACAAAGAAAGAGAGAGGTTGAAGATGTAAATCAAAAAGACAA